TCCCAGGTCGACCGTGTCCGCAGCTTCGTCCTCATCTCTCTCGCCTGCATCTTTCTTCGCACGACGGATCTGTTCTCGTATCATGCGTTGCTCGCGCTCTTCGTCACCCTTATCCTGCATCTCTTTCCTCTTCACAGCTTCTTTTCGACGCAGAGCCTCGGGCGAATCATCAATCCAAGCAATATGTAAGCCCTTATCCGTCTCTTCTACTCTGCAAATGCCTTCCCGTCCAAGGTATTTCGCATATTCGGTGAGTGAAGGCCACTTCGTAGCGTTCATATGCACGTGCTCTTTGTTGGCGATGTAGTTTTGGTAGAAGTGGTTGATGTGGACGGATTTCTCGCCGTGGGAGGTGCGCAAGAGCTGCAAGAAGTCTCGGGAGAATTGCTTGCTGAAGTCCTCGATATGTTTCTTTGGATCTTCACCGACGAGGATCATCTGGCGGACATGGCTTTCGCTCATAGTGTGTTGCTTGAATCCGTTCTCGTCTCGCATTTGGCGCTCGCAGACCTGGCAATAGAACCGCAGGCGCTGTAGCCCTTTCATCTTCATGCGCTTACTCAGGTCCTTTACAGACCCAGCTTCTGCTTTCGGCATCTTGGCGATGATGCAGTCGGTGCTGCTATGGATGCTGCTGTAGATGCGATGTTGTCTGCTGCGTTGGATGATGTAGTGGCTGATGCATTGGGTGCGCTCTTGGCTGCGATGTCCCGTTGGGTGGTGCCTTCGATGCTAGCGCTGGTGGCGTTTGGAACCGCGATGGGTATGCGCCTATCTGCCTAATCGATAAGAGTTGACTGCTAAGGTAGGTATCTGGCCCGCATCGATTGGTAGCTTTTCACCGATGACGCTGAATCCAATCACCTTGTCGTCTTGAATAGATTGCAAAATGATCAGATACACGGTGTACAGTGAGCTAACTCAATGCACATGTAACGAAGAGATATGTGAATGAATAACTACGAACATTTCGTTGCACTCCGGAACTAGAATAATCAGGCGAAAAAGACCTAGGTAGGCGGGGCCGCAAGCCTCCATTGCTTGATGTATATCACCAACAATAACGAGCACTATTATTCATCACAGCGGGGATAGTTCAGTTGGGAGAACGTCAGACTGAAGTCAAACTTCAATCTTAGTGAATCTGAAGGTCGTGCGTTCGATCCGCACTCACCGCAAAGTTTTCTTTTTGTCCACATCAACTACACATAGTTTGAGCTTCGTCTTCGGGTAGAATTGGTCCTAAACGCCTAAACTTGAAGTCGGAAAGAAGGACGTTGACCTTTTTGTTGCGACTTCCCTCTCCAGCCAGATAGCCACGCATTCTTTGCTCTCTTTCTTTGACACCAAACAATCAATGCATTATGTACCTAGCTTGCTCCAGATGAAATAACACATCTTAAGACGAGACTATTATCATGCGAGAAACATCGCTGGTGCCGAGTTCATGGAGGCTCAAAAGGGCATCTCCCAAGCAACTAGTCTATTAAGCATTTTTCTCGACTCTCGTGCCATGAGAGATTGTTACAGTTGAGAGCGCATAGGTAATCCAGTAAAAGTCTTGATACGTTCACAATCACAATCGAAAACTACCTGCCTAGGTATAATATGACCAAAATCAACAGGAGGTATCTTAGCAGATACACCCAAGAACCATTCCACTTCAATTTCAACCTCAAAAATCACGATGGTCCCAAGGATCATTAAGTGCAAATGCTGTCGAATTGTCGAAATCACTCGGCACCAAATGCGTTTCGCAAAAGAACATTGAAGAGCCCCGAAGAATGATGTCGGTAGATGAGGTGCCGCAGAACAGTTCGAAAGTGAACGTTCTATTGAGGTGACATTGTCCAGTCGAGTAATCATCGATATCCACCATTACATATCCCCTCTCCGCGTAGATCGCTGTCGATGATTACCTCGTTAGTGACATGAATGAGTGATACCATCAAGCTACGGAGTCGTGGAGTTAACTGCTCAGAGCTAGCAAATCACTTACTTTGATGTCCTGGATTAGTCTTCCATGTATTGAACTCGACTACATCTAAAGGATCTCGGTATAGAGGATATCCCTTATTCGTCTTGGGATCTTTCAATTACTCGTCAGTATTCAATCGGTCAGAAGATTAGGTAGGTGCTCATCGTTCAATCCCCTTCGCGTTTATTCGACCTCTTGCGAAACGAAATTATCGAAACACAACCTCGTCATACTCACCCACTCTCATGCCATGTTTACTGCCACTGACGTCGTCCGCGATCTGGTAAATTGGATGATTGAAGATATCCCAGTCGCCACAACTCCACTGAGGCGGGTTCGATGTAAACGTGCCCCCTTCGTAGACGTCGACGCCATCATCGTCACTGACCCTCTGATTGAGATACGTGAGCCAGAAGTCGGCAGTGACTAATGGCAGAAGTGCTGCCACTAGAATAGCTGGCGACAGTTTCCAGAGCATAATGATCGAGAGACTTCTGACGAGCATCAAGTAACGAAGTTGAAATTAAGTAAAACGAGAATCGAAAAAGTAGTGAAAGTCTGACAAACGACTTATATATGGATTCCTTGCTCTAGTCACAGCATGTTACTACTCAGCTTCGCAAGCCAGCCCCTCATAGACCTCTTTGTCAGAGCTTCTCACATAAAGCCTCCGGCAGACGCAGATGATAGTTAATCACCTGGTTGTACAGACATCCCAAAATGTCTACCGTATGTTTATCTCTACATGTATTATTCTCGAGACGCAGATAGAGGTGTCCCTCTGATGAATAGGTCTTATACAGTGATTCTACTGGACTAATTTAAGTCTCGCCTATGAAGACAGTTCCTATATAGGTAACCTTAACAAAAATATCGCCTCTTGCTGCGGTTTGTGATATTAAGCCTGACTGATATCATTCGATCTTGCAGCGAAAAGTAACCAGTAGGAACGCGACTCACCGCTCTGTGTTACTGCCCCAACTTAAAATCAACGTACGATATGGTCAGAGCTGATGTTAAGTCATTCCTTCCTGGTGACTAAGTGACTAAGTGCTTATGTAGCCTCGGAGAGAACCCCGAGCACCTTGATTCACCGTGCTTCTACATCAAAATGTCCAGTCCGCTTCATTCGCCATATCCTGCTTCCCCAACACTCTTCGACCGTCTTCGCCTTCTTCAAGTCCGTTTCTTGTCTCTGCCTGACTCGATCTCCACTTCCACATCTGCCCATACACAGTTTGGTTACCCCTGCCTTCAAGTATCCTTACAACCTCCCGTCCAAGAATAGGGAGGAACTTGAATCCATGGCCACTCCCGCCTGAACATATCGCAACGCCCGGGCGTCCCGGTACAAAGTCGACTACGAAGGAATTATCGATACTATCTGTATACCAACAGAGCTTCGTAGACGATATACCCAACTCAGCAAGCTCCGGGAGATTCACTGAGATATACTCTGCATCCAAAGTCAATGCTTAGTCGACCAAATATTCCCTCCATTGAGCAGGAAAAGCAACGCACCTTTAATAGCATCCAAAGCCACCATGGGAATATTCCTCTCTTTTTTATCCGTAACATGAGCAGTCTTGGGCACCGATATTCTATTCCCCAATACATAGTCATAGTTCGTCCACTTCGTTCTTCGATATCCAATTTTAATCACGCCATTTTCATCACGGGGAAAACTGTAGATATCTTTGCCCTCCTTCATACCCCATGTCACTACCGGGAACTTCTCCGGCGAGAAGCGGTCCAATAGATCTAGACGGTCCTTGGGAAGTTGTATAGTCGCCACAGAGCCAGCAGTTGTCTCGATGAGACCTGCGGCTTCGGGCAGAAGACCTGCCGTCCAGCCACCGCCTGTTCACGATATCAGTGTGGTTGGTATGCCGAGTGTAAGAGGATTCAGGGGCTTACCAGCAACAACAACCACATCGGCCAGATAACTCGTGCCATCCGAAGTGAGAACGTAAGGCTTGTTACCAACAGCAGTACCTATCGAGGTCACCTTGCCCTCCACAGGGCCGAAGACGAACTTGACACCAGCTCGCCTAGCAAGATGTTGTGCCCATGCGCAGCTCTTGTACGCAGCTACAAAGCCTCCACTCGAGTCCAATACCGCCTTATGAACACCAAATCTCTCCTGTCGATGACACACATCCAACTTGTGACCCCAGCCATTGTGTGATGCTCTCTGTATATCTAGCACCTTTCATGTCAATGAACCATCAAAGATCATGATTCCAAATCACTCACCAGTTTCCTGATCACACCTAAACTGGCTATCCCTAACCCCCTCCCTTTCCATATTCCTCAGTGTCTCAATTTCGAACTCCGCCAGTTCATCCCCAGCAGCCATCCTAAGAAACCCACAATTGTACCAAAGCTTCCTCTCGTTCCTCAACACCTCCGGTACCTCCTCCGCATCCTTGACTTGCTCATTCCACTCCTGCCAAAGCTCAGCAGCCTGAGAAGCAAGACGTTGATACTCAATCTCCTTCCCATACGAAAATCGAATAATCTTGTTGATATCCGTGGACGCTGAATCAATCCCCGCTGCAGGGTCGTAGCCCGTTGCCTCCGTGTCTTGCATGTCGAAGACAGTTACAGAACGGTATCCCGAGCGGGCGAGCCATAGTGCGGTTGAGAGCCCGAAGACACCTGATCCTACTATCAGGATTCGGGAGTCTTGGTTGAGTGCCATTTTGTCTGGCGGGAGATTTGGCACTCGGTCTCGCTGTGGCGCTTGTTTTAACAAAAGGTTGACTTCCTGAGCTATGGACTATTTGTGTAGATATAAGAGACGGCGTCGAGATGTGCAATGCACTTCCCCACATTCTGCCGACCCCGAACAAACGGCAACATTAAACAGAAATTCTTCGAGTCCAAGTTATTATCATGAGTCGACATCAAAGACACCATCAACTACATTTCTACCAGCTAAACCACTAATAAACTGCAAAACCCGATCTGTCTTTTACAATTACCTAAACCCGCCCATATCTAGCAAAAAGACATCGTCTGGTCAGTATAGGGCTTGAACCTATGGCCTTCGCAGTAATCCTTCAACATCCTGGACACTAGATCTGGGAATTTGAATGTAATTGTGATGCTCTACCAACTGAGCTAACCGACCTCTCTGTTTTGTTGTGAGCGAGATGTAGTAAGTCTTGTGATGAAGATGCAGGCCGCACGACGGATTATCCGCGGGACATGTATGTAGATCGGTAAGTGTGTAAGCATTTCGGATTTCCCTTCTATATACAACATGATGGGTCGGAAGTCAGGGTATGGAAACACACTGATACTTTCGCCAGGGAGAGAAATATATTGGCTCCTCTGAAGCATTATATAGAGGACAGTAACCCGCGTTCTTAGTACGAAGATGCAATTCCTCTCGTATAAACCCTTTCCAGCCCGTTGGATGCATGGCTCCCTTACCCCTTACCACTGCCAGGATAATGTCCCGGATCATAATGCGAAGCATCCGTATCGCCCTTGGCAAGTTTCGACACGTAGTAGCCCGTCTTGGGATTATCGGCATTCAACCGAGCGTCATCTTTCGTGACCGGTTCTACATCAGTTCAAAATCAGCACCCTACAGTTACAGCTTCAGGGACAGACACCAAGATGGCTGGACTCTCTATCAATAGAACTCTGGTGTTGGGTTGTTAGGTTGCAGGTAAAAATGGATAACGTACGATCAGCCGCCTTCCGCGTCTTTTCAACACCTTCCTGGTACTTTCTGTTCGCTTCCTCTGAACCGGACGGCATTGCGACGATGTAATTTGCAAGTGAATTGACCTTAGAGGATGTAGTAAGGTGTTACGGGTGTAACCTTGGAAGTTGATGAGAGGTGAAGATAGTGGTGGTATATCAGTGAGACGTTATTGTGTATGGTGCTGAAGACGTCATCATGACCCATGCATCCATGACGCCCTCAAAAACCAACGCGTGAACTATCGAGATTTACTGTGGGATATCAATGCGTTCGTCGAACCCAAAGCCACTCCAAACTAATTCGGGTTGACGCAGGATAGGTTGTACTCAAACCGTGATAGCGAGTCGCAGAACGGTGTCATTCATGTTAGGATCACTGTATATTGAAAGGACCCTGAAACCACAATATATGAGCCCCCTTGAGTAATAATCTCCCGATTCACTTCGCCGCCATAGATAAATACAAATATCCGCTCCTAATTCTTCGAATATGTTCGCAGGTCTACAAACATGCATATACAGTCGTTTCAGGGTATTGACCTAAACGAAACAGAAATGGGAAAGAAATAGTAAACACTTGAACTCCCAAAACGCCGTTTTATGCCCATCGCCATCTAGCATGCTTTTAGCCGCCTTTTGATCCCCTTGTCGTCTCAAGTCTTAGCCTGCCTATTCTAAGAACGTAAACAAGTTCGTATGCAGAACATTCATCGCTCTCGTAGCATCGCGTGCGTCGATAACACACGAGATGTTAATTTCACTAGCACCTATAACAACAGGATATTAGCAAAACATACAGACAAATATGGCAAGGACGCGAAACTGACCTTGCGATATCATCTCAATATTAACCTGATGCTGTCCAAGGGTAGAGAACATGCGCCCAGCGACACCGATCATATTCTTCATCTCGGCACCAACCAGACTCAAGATGGCCATATCAACTAGTATACTAACATCACCACACTCTTCCAGCTCTTGCTTAGCCTTCTCGAAGTGGTGGATTGATGAGCTGACTTGGTGGATGGCCATCGAGACGTGAACCTCGGATGTCGAGATAAGATCAACGGAGATCCTATGGTTATTCAGGATTGAGAACACTTTGGCGAAGAACCCGTGGCTGATGGATCGTTTGTTCGAATGGACGTTGATAACCGTGATATTATCCTTAATAGTAACGGCAGTGGGTCGCTTCGGAGTCTTTCTCAATGACGCGTCCGACGGTCGAGATCTCTTGATCTGTTGCCCAGCAGATTTTACTGGGTCTGGGACGACGATGGTACCGTTTCCGCGAGGGTTCTTGACGTTCTTGATGCGGATCGGTATCGGAGGGTGTGCCTTGATGACCTGGTCCATGGTCAGATGGTGGATGACCTCAGAGCCATAGAACGTGAGTTCGGCGGCTTCGGAGGGCGTAACGGAGCTCAGTAGTCGTGCGGTTGGGACTTTGGTCGGATCGGCCGTAAAAATACCGTCCACCTCTTTCCACACTTGCAATTCTGTGGCCTTCATTCCGACCGCAGCTAATGCGGCGCAAAGATCCGTGTAGCCTCGTCCGATTTCGCCATTCATCAAGCTTCCAGGAACATTCCCAAAGAAGCCTGTGATGACAGGTACTCTATCGCCACAAGCCTCTATTCTCTTTCGGAAAATGGCGGCCGCGTCGGTGAAGAAGGCTGGAGTGAGCCTGTCGGAGCTATCGTAATGCAAGACGTCGGAAAGATCGACATATTCGGAGGCCACGTTCTAAGGCCCTTTGTTAGAACATTTGAAGAAAAATGGTTGAAGTGCAACTCACGTGGTCTTTCAACATAGCTGCCATGAACCGACAGCTTAGTTTCTCGCCGAAGCTAATAACCCGGTCTTTTGATCTGGCATTGACTTCGAGATTAAACCTTCTGGCGGCGATGATGTAGTCTATCAGTTCGTCGCAATCATCTTGTATTCCCTTAGCGGTCTCTTTCTGCAAGTCGGGATTTGTGATGGAGGTTTCGACGGCGAGGACATGGTCGCTGCATATAGCGCGGATCGTCGCCTTGGCTTCTTCGATGAGTTCGGCCTGACTCTGCTCATTGCTCGTAGCAGCAGAAATATCGCGGAGCTTCTTGAAGACGTCGAGTAACCTAGGAGTTTGTTAGCTCGGAGGCCCGTTGGGCAGTGATATCGGCAGTCCCGGTTGTAGACACACTCACCGGCTCGTAGTGCCGCTCGCCTTCTTGCCCGTGCTTCTTGCAGAGCAGACAACCACGATCTTGTTTGAAGCTAGATTCTCACTTTGTCACAGGCATCAGTACAGATCTGTTGAAAGCTGTAGGGAAAGCCAATGGCTCAGTGTTTGGTCGTACCGCACAATGTCGCGGGCAATCTGTTTGCGAAATCGGACACGGTTAGCTGCGTTCTGCCAGCAAGAGCGGGCTTTGGGTCGGAAACCAACATTGTCAGGAAACTTGCCCACGCTGGTGCCGCCGAACTTTTGGACAATCCAGCCTCTGGGGCTGGTATTGCCCAACATGGCCGTCCCATTCGTGGCCATGGAGGAAGTGTAATGTGTCCCCTTGGGCGCACGAGGCCTGGGAATGTTTGGCAAGGAATGGAGGAGCAATGCTGGGCTCTAACGAGAGTTAAACACGAACAGAAAGAACGTTCCGAACTGCGATTGGCAGCGCAATGCAAACAGACAGCAGAGTATGCGTGTATAGATTGTATGTATGGTATGAAGATGCTAGTCCAGGTCCCTCGCGTCCGTCCGTCCCTCTATATCCAACATTTTCTGCCCCGAATCGCGGAGCTGTTCTGGAGGCGCCGAGTCATACGCAAAAAATGTCGTGGTGCTCTCTAGCTCGCCATCTTAGTGGGGTGGAAAGTGCCTGTCCGGTGGGGGAGCATCCCTGACGTTACCTAAGTCGCCAGCCGAGCCAGCCACCTGCAGCTTTTATAGCCGGCAGTGCAAACGCCTTTGGTTCGGCATGCCGGCTAGGTGCACCGGTTCGTGGAACCTCCATTACTTTTCATACCTTAGGTATATCAGGGTCATTATACTTGTCGTGGCTTACTAAGGACTTCAACTCCATGTCGACCGTCAAGATCATTCCTACTGTCTTATGCAGATGTACAATTTCCAGTCCATCGGTTCCATTTAGCGCATCAAGCTCTCGAGTCCTACTCGAACATCTAGTAACAGCAAAAATCATGATCAATGCCGTAGCGGAGGACGCAATGTTGTGACAGATGGGGGTTCACCCTTTAATCAATACGACATTAATCTTAAATGCTGACAAATTGAATAATCGAGATCAATTGAAGTTCTAGCAACTCACAGCATGAGTCACTTGCATGACTGCTGAAGTTGAGGATATGTTGTAAAGAATGCGGATACGATGAGATCCCAAGTTGACTTACCGTACTCGTATATCTGGATCCCAACTGCTTCAATACCAGAGCGATATCATAGATGAGACCCCCACCAGCTCAAAATCGGCATCCCGTGCTTCAGTTTGTTGGTTTCGATATTCTTCTACGTTCAGTGGGCACATGCAGGCATTGAACTCATGAGACCATAGGCGCTGGTGCCAGACCACAACAAAATAAGGGATACTGTGATACAGACCTCCGTGAAACAAACAATGAATCAATACACCTTCGGATGCTAACATTCCTGTTAATCAGTCAAGGCAAGAAATGATCGATTCAAGTAATAGCTTCAATTACATTTCCTATATGTAGTTCATGCGAATCTTGCATGTAGTTCCCTGCGATTCCAATCTGTAGTCTCACATGCAGACCCTGCGTGTAGTTCACTACATGTATTTATCTAACCCCTTTATAGAACGAGTATCCAAACAATATTTAGCCACGGTGATGATCAGTCAAACGATGCCATGGATAGAGATTTCCCATCATGTTTTGTGTTCACGGCCTGAGTGCTATGGTCCCACGACGTTGTTATGAGACACGTCCCAAATATACGCACACATCAGCCAATAATACAGTTAGTCATATTCGACATTGAAGAAACTGAATATTAGTTTGGATACAAAGGCATATGCATAGTGTGAGCGCGTACTTAAGAGTCAAGGGCATTCCCATGCTTTGATGGCCATTACTGTGACAACCAAGAATTGTAAGTAACAGAACACAACACATTGCAGCCAACGTCTTTTTGAGTAAGAGCTTGTGACCACGTCCTATACTCGCAGGCAAACATTTTCACATCATGATTCAGTGGAGACACACTTGTCAAAAACGACTTATTTCTCTCCGATCTGGGTATCAACAACAAGTGTTTCGCAATCTCTCAACGCCTCCCAGTTCATCAGCAACCTCCCAGGTCGCTTCATCGTGTGGACCCATGTCGGGTGTGTAGCAACCCAGCAAAGCACTAAGTAGCGCTACGCCGTCCACGGTCCACGGCATGCC